TCACACATTGGGTTTTTGGGTTTGGGGTCTAGGGTTTGGGGTTTTGGGTTTCGGGTATTAAGGAGGGCACTTCCCAAGGACCTCGGGGCATAACAGTCTTGGTAGAGTGGTGGTTTGGTAGTCGAGAAGTGCGAGTCTGTGTCCGGAACTTACGGGAATTGCTTACTCGTAATCCTCCTGTACCTGTAACCATGATACTTCCGGTACTTTTAGTGGCGTTGGGGTGTCATAACTGCTGATCGCGCAACAACCCCAAACACTGAGTCAGGACCGCACACTTTTGTCAACACAACACTCTACAATCATGGACAGGGCTTTGACTCAGGCTTGGTGCGGTGGAGGGAAGAAGGGGGGGTTGAGGACAGGTAGGTTTTAGGGTATGCGGCTTGGCAGTACGATTTTGTTTCTCAGATATTAGGCTACTGCGTTGGCATCGCGCAGCTAGCTCAATCGCCCATGCGCGGGGCCAAAAGACTCTGCCTGTATTGTGGCGTCGACGACCAGCTCGTTCTACCATAGGGATCCGATACAAAGCCCGCACCCCTAAAGCTTCAACCCGAAGAGACTCATGAAGCCTTTGGCCCATATGGTACGACAGAGTAGCGGTTTACACGAGTCTGTATAAGTATGTCAAGATTGTACGGGCATACAACTACTGGTGTCTCCCCGCTATTGACCCGCGTAGTACTGGTACAAGACAGATACATCCGAAGAGCTACCCCCAAGGAAAACAACAACATACTCGGGCCTGGGGTTGAGAGTCTCGGGTTTAGCGTTCGGGTTAAGGGTGTAGGGCTGCGGGCTTCTGGTGTTTAAGGCTTGGTTTAAGGTTTACAGTTTGAGAAACTTCAGGATGTTAGGAAGTAGGGCAAGTAGGGGTTCAACAGCCTTGAAACAATACATACACCTCCCCCCAACCCACCCCCGACAAAAGACAAACAACTACTCAGCACCATAAACACTGCACCTTGAAACCCGCTTCCAGAATCTGGACTCCTGAACTTGAAGACTGCTATTCGGGTAGTTGTCAAAAATTAACTTCCCTTTTTGGGTACCCTCAATATTAGGTGACCCAAAAAGGGAGCACAACTTTGACAACCACCCATTCATTTCGAGGCAAGCCCTCAACTCAGAACTGCACGATCTGGCCCTGAACATGCATGCCTGGAACATATATGGTCTAAAGCCGCGACGCCAGACTCACCTTCTTTGCGTCAGCATGGAATGCTCCTCCGAAAACACTTCACATCTGCGGTGTGGTGAAAGAGGAACTCATGCGGCTTCAGGGAGCGCGTTCCAATGTGGAGCATGCGGCTGTTCGTTTTCTTTTGCCGGGTAGCCCTACTGAACCCTTAACTCCCCAGACTCTCTAAAACCCTACTCTTTCTTCGTGTAAAATGTTAGCCTCCATGAACAAAGCTGGCATTGCTGCCCTCAACCGTGCAAAGACTCAAACCGAACCATATCAACCCTGTACCAGGCATGATGATCCTGGCCCCTAAGCCCTAAAGTCTCTAGTCTCAACCTGATTACCAACGCCCTAGGGCTTACACCAAAACCGCGCGACTGGCCACCGGCTGATGCGCCTTAAGCTCCCCCCGAGATGCCGAACTTCTTCAGTACGTGGAGCCTTTCCTGGCGGTTTACTTACCTTTGGTTGGTAGGGAATGGAGGACTGGGGTACAAGTATAACTACTATTACTACCCTTCTTCCATTCCCTACTAACCAAAGGTAAGTTTAAGGTTGTGCATTCTTGGGGGTTTGTCTTGGGAGCCCCAGCTGCTACACAGTAATGCAGCTGCAGAGGAGAAGCAATTAGATACATAGGATTTCTTCACCGTGCAGCATCCGAAGCCCGAAGAACCCCAAAAGCCAAACTGTGTTTACCTTCGGCTGGGAGCTTCAGACGCGATTTAGCGAGATGAGGGCATGGCGCTCGTTCCCTGCGAGTTTAGGGATCAGGGCTTCCTGGGTGTAGAGGGCCTGAGCTGTTTGGAGCTTTGCTTCGGGCGGAGCTATGAAGGCCTTTGCCCGTGTGCTAAACTCCACTCAATGCCAGAGGCTCCAAGAAACGTCCAACCCTGAAAAAACAACGAGCCTCGAGCTCGAGTACCGCAGGGTCATGCTTCAAGCCCTGTCAGACAAGCTTGTGGTTTAGGGTTTGGGAGGGTGGAAGGCTTTATGATTCAAGGTTGGGTCAGGGTCTCTGCTTCAGGTTTTGAGTTCAGGGATAGTGGTCTAAGGCTTTAGATGGATTTGGGGTTTTTGACGGTTCAGGAGATTCAGAATCAAGGGTGTTTGCAGTTTTGCAGATCGGGGTTTCTGGTAGACCTGGTAGACGGTACGGATGTCAGGATCTAGGTCGTTGAGGCTTTAGGTCGTAAGGTGCAGCTCGAGGCATCTGACTCCAAGCACACGCAACGGCAAGCTCCAAACCTTGAAAACCGAGGCGGACCGGACCATTAACGAACTTGCAAACCCGGACTCGCATAAACTGGTTTACGAACCCGTAAGACCTGATATACGCAGGGTTCGGAATCTAGACAGCTCCCTAGTGTAACAAGAGCATCATCTGGCCCAAATTTCTGTGCCAGATATTTCGGCCCCCATTTTCAGCAGCAAAACCCCGCTGGTTGCTGGAACCTTGTTGCTGCAGTGGCGCTCGTCGCGCATCTCGCGCTTCAGGGCCTGAAGATCCTCCAGAAGCGGCGACGCACATATGCGAAAGCACATATATGAATGGTAATGTGTGAAACACAGAGAGACAGAGAGAGAGATAGAGAGAGAGAGAGGGAGAGAGAGGGATAGAGAGACGGACAGCTAGGGAGATGGAGAGATGAAAAGAGAATAGAGAGATAAAGAGACAGAGAGGTACATGCATAGAGACATGCAGATCGCGAGATACACGGTTTGAGATGCGAGGTTGAGGGTGCCGGGCGTAGGGCAAGGATTTAAGATTGGAGCCTCCTGCAGCTGATTGAGCTCCTCGATGTCGGCTTCCATGTCCTACGCCACCAGGGGGCGAGTGGGTTCAAGGATTCTCGGGCAGAGTGTTAGGAGCTTGGGGGGTGCTTGGGGCTTTGTTTCACCTAGACTTCGTCCCTCAGTGACCCTCACCCCCCACTTGGAACCCCAGACTCGGACTCAGCCAAACCACAAGACACTGGACGTACCCAAACCCTTAAAAGATAAGCTTCTGCAACACTCAGGAGTGAAGGGTTCAGGCTTTAGGGTTTCGGATTGGGGTTTGGGGCTTGGAGTTCGAGGTTAAGGTATACTTGGCTGCGCTTCTTTCCTGGGCTCCGAAAACACTTGCTAAAGAGTCCTTGTTCATGTTCTTCGTGCGCTTCCTTGGGCAGCACATCACACGTAGTGGCAAGAACCCCAAGACTCCAGGCCCCTGCTAAGCGCGCAGTCCCGCGCCGAACATACCGAAGTGCTCCTCAAGTCATAAGCTACTGAAGACCTGCCAATGAAGCAATCAAGCCAACTCTTCATTCTGCCGCACCCAAACAGTCTTCAACCCCATAGCCCCTCCAAGAAATCAGTGGCCTCCGTGGAGTATATTTGGGTTCGGGGGTTCAAATCCTAGGAGTGTTCGATTTTAGTGGCTTCGGCGTGGCTACCCATATGGCGCCCTTCAGGGTAGTTCTTGCCGAAAGTAAACACCCAAGAGGACCCAAAAACAGTTCTTGACATGAAGGGAGAGGCAAACATCGAATACCCTGGCACCGGGAACCCACCCACAGCACAGACCCCTGCATAAAGAAAACACATCACATGAGGAAGACACGCTCTGGGGTACTTCATTCTCTCAAGGCATCCGTTATGGCATCCGTAGGCCCCGAAGAAAAAGCATCTTGAATGCTCCCCCCTAAATTTCTAAGATACAGGTTGAGGGGTCTTGGGCTTCCCTAAGATCAGAAGGACCTGAATCCAACCCAAACTGGCTGGACTACAGCTGAACCCAGCCCTAAAGCCTAAATCCTGAACCTTGAGCAGACCCCGTACTCTACATTCGGCCAGGTTTCTTATCGTGCAGCTCCTTGCCCCGCAGCTCCTGCGCGAGTGTCGGGTGTGGTTTTCTTGGGGAGGGCTTTTCCGTGCTTGTTAATTAAGGTTCAAGCTCTTGTTCTGGAACTGTCAGGAGTTGGAGGCCAGCGGCAGTCAGATTTCAAGACTCTTGACGGCATGACCCACATTCGCTTGATGCGAAGACTGTGTAGTACTGTGTAGTAGGGCTTCCCCACCTAAACCAAGCTGCTGAAACATCAGTGTTTCGCGTCGCAGACGACGGCAAGCTCAGGATGCCGCTCTGGTGGCTGCTCTGGCAGAGGAAGCTAAAAGCAATCACCCCGCAGAGGCAGCAAAAGAGAAAGACAACCTCAAAATAGCTCAGGACGATCATGGCAATCCTCGTTTCAACCGCTGTGTTCTCAGCCATGACTTGCTTCTGACATGGCTGCGCCGACCATCCCTCGCTGCCTGTCGCTGCCCCTAAATCTGCCAAGCACGGGTCCATCGGACCCTTGCATGGGACCAGGGTAGTGCAAGAATCAGCAAGCAAACGTTCGCAACAGAACCAATAGATTCGCACTTAAGCTGCGATAAGACGATCTTGCACACGCAACTCTCTACTGGCGTGGGCCAATCAGGCAGTCAGGTATAGCGCAGCCTATAGGGCCTATAGGATCCTGCGAACCTCACAAACAAACGAGGACAAGCTTCCCACTGAATATTTGCGCGCTGGCATGATGAAGTTTAGCTACACTCTTTGGCTGCAGAATCCAATTCCAGACAGTCCGCAGCCACTGCCATGCCATTGCCGCGCATACCCGTGGAGGAAGCTAAAAGCAGTCACTCCAAGGTACTGCGGCAACCGCAACTGTACAATGAACAGGCCTACAAAAATTGTTTGGGCAATTGAGGTGGCTGTGCTGAGCACCATGCATGGATGTTGCCAGCGCATTGTAGCAAGCAGAGTGAAATAGGTCTTCACTCACTGCACTTGGAATCTGCGCGGGTTTGTGCCGCGGTAGGACCGGTGATATCCCTGTCGTGTTCGCGCCTCGGTGGTGGACTGCGCGACGGAGGCCGGATTGCGGAGTGTCGTCGCTGGAATGTTCAGGAAGGAGCGGCTGACTAAAACCGCTTCCCCGTCAGAGTCAGTGAAGGCGATGTCCCGGGAGCTTCTTGGGACCACGCCAAGGCTGTAGGGCAGTGACCAGATCACGCGCATGACCTCTTCCTCCAGGCATTCTGCGACAAAGATGTCACATGGCCTGAGCCGCATGGTGGACAGATGACTGCGGATGGCTCGGAAGCAGAAAGGCTCCATGAAGATCTTGGCGCCGGACGGCTGCAAGCGCCAGTCCAATCCCTCCTCCTGCAAGGTCTGTCGACATGGCTGCAAGGTGAGCGAATGCTGCAGATCTGTGTCCAGCTGGCGATGTGTGCGGCTCAATGTCAAATGCACCACCCGAGTGAGTCCAGCGGGCACATGCGACTGCAAGTGTTGACTGTTGCCGTGCCAGCCGGATCCGATGTTGTATTCGATCCAAGAGGCCTCCTGTTCTGCCACGATTGCGGCACCCTCCTCCTCCAGGATTTCAGCTGGAGGCTCGCTGTGATGCACCGGCTGCAGCACCTCCTGCATCGGATCGGGGGTGGGTGCGCTGGTAGACTGTGAGGCAAGCCGAACCGTGAAGACTGGCGGCACATGGCGCCGCAAACACCCCCCGAAACACACCAACTCGCCACTCGCCTTCACGGCACAAGTGTGACGGTGTCCGGCAGCAACGGCCACCACCGGGTCGGCAGGCACATCGCACTGACCACAGCGATTATCTCCGAAGCAGACCAGCTCGCCACTCGCCTTCACGGCACAGGTGTGAAAATGTCTCGCAGCCACGGCCACCACCGCACCGAGGTCGGGAAGCACGTCGCACTGACCACAGCGATTGTCTCCGAAGCAAACCAGCTCGCCACTCGCCTTCACGGCACAGGTGTGATGTGCTCCGGCAGCCACGGCAACCACCGGACCGAGGTCGGGAGGCACATCGCGCTGACCATACTCATTGCTTCCGAAGCAAACCAGCTCGCCATTCGCCTTCACGGCACAGGTGTGAGCAGATCCGGCAGCCACGGCCAGCACCGGACCAAGGTCGGGAGGCACATCGCACTGACCAAAGCGATTGTCTCCGAAGCAAACCAGCTCGCCACTCGCCTTCACGGCACAGGTGTGATAAGATCCGGCAGCCACTGCCACCACCAGACCGAGGTCGGGAGGCACATCGCTCTGACCGAAGGATACATAGGGATCATTTTCCGCGAAGCAAACCAGCTCGCCACTCGCCTTAATGGCACAGATGTGAAGATATCCGGCAGCCAAGGCCACCACCGGACCGAGGTCTGGTGGCAAATCAATCCCGTTTCTGCCGAAGCAGCAAACAAGCTGTCCGGTCTCACTGATGGCATACGTTGCTTCCCAAGAGGCAACGGGGCAGTTGGGGGGCTGCATGCGCCATCCCAAATACGGTAAAACGTGCTTGAAGATATCTGTCCGGCCAGCATGGCATCCGAGCAACAGTAGGTTGTAAACGTCTTGGGTGGTGACGTGATGGTTCCTGTCCTCCAGCAATCGTAGAGCCATAAGGCCAGGAGCCCTCGGACGACCTCTTGCCCCAAAAAGGCTTGAGCCGAACACATGGTTACGGGATGGTCCCATCCATCTTGCATATCTGTGCCGCACGGCCACAAAATAGAGGCGTCACTACTCCTACTTCGGTTCAGGTTGGAGTTTGGTACTGTTTGGCATGTAACCGACAGTCAGAGAGATCAGTATCCCTGCTCTTGCTGATGCTGCTTAAGCAACATACTTGAAAACCTCCCCTTTCATGCGGTCTTGCTTCTTCACAGAGATAGGTTTAAAGCTTCTTCAGAACACGAACTTCTCAGAGCCCGAGATACAAAAGTTCGGTGTTGGCTGCAGGGTGTTTCTTTGCGGGTGTTCGATCTTCGGTCTTCAAGACTATGAGGCAGAGGATTTGAAGTGCTTCGGATCGTGGCAGGAGCTTAAGACCTCTGGAGTCAGGTTGGGAGACCGGAAAGGAAAGAGGCTCGCGCCTATGCAACTGTGTGAGGGAATTCTTCAAAGGAGGATCCCTTCAGCGATCCTTACCACAAGGATCCGACAACTGAGTGTGTCTGAAGCTCTCTTCTGGGGACTGGTTCGGAGTAGTGGCCGGAATAACTGGAAAATGGTATAGGGGCACTTGACAGTGTACCTGCGTAGGGACGACAGGGGAGTTTCATTATCGACTGTTCAAACTCTTATCCCATCGGGATGGTCTGCTGAGCCTCCACAAGTCGTCCAGGAACCAGAAGGGTTAAGGTGGTGGGGGGGGGGGGGGTCTCAGGGTTCTGATTTAGGATCCACATCTGTGGTGTAGGGTTTGGGGTTGAGGCTTCAGGCTCTCCCGGAACCCCACACACCCGAGTAGCTCACACAGATGTGGGTTTTGGCACCTTCGGGGCTTAAGGCTTCTAGTCTCCCCCAAGCTGTGCTGATTCAGAGGTTTCGCTGGCAGCTCAGCGGCTCCAGTAGGGTTTAGGGATCTTTGCGAGGAGTTCTTCGACAACCCAACAACCATTCGCTGTCACCAACTTGGCCTCCTATGGCAACACCCACTAAACCATAAAGCGTTGGCGCCTGCAGGCGCATCAGCCACTTCATCACTTCTTCGTCCTGCTCAGCAACGCAACTTATGGCTCACGGTGTTTCGGGTTGAGGACGTCGATCGGATTTGGGTTTGAAAGCCTAAGGCCGCGAGTCGTATGAGGCTTCCGAGGTTCAGGTCTGGCGGGTTTGGTTTTTGGGTCGTCGCCGGGTGCAGGCTTGGGGCTGGGGTTCGACACAGTTGCGATCGCCCAGAGTTCAGGTGCTCAGTTCTTGTGATTGCAAACGGGGGGAATGCCTTCGAAGCCCTGTCTGGATCCCCCATCACTACAATTACAAGCTGACAGCTGAACAAGGTCATGACTCACATGGTACGAAGAATGCCCGGTTTTGGCGGGGCACGGTCAGCGCCCGTCCTTCTCTGACAAGACTCCTCTAACAGACCACCTCGACACGAAAACCTCGCTAAGCGATACCATGAGGACCCCAAGGAACTGAAGGTTTTGCATGGATGTAGCCTAAGTGGAGGTACCAAATGACACCCAAAAAGAAAAAACATATTTAGAGAGCCTACCCAGACCCTGAACCCTAAACCTCAACCAAAGCAACGGAAAAGTCGTAAGATCCTAAACCCTAAACCCTAAACCCTAAACCCTATCTGGAGGTTCAGCTTCTTGGGCCTTGTCTTGCTCATGCTCTGTGAGGCCCTCAGCCTCCCAGCACACAGCAGTTGCAGGGAAGCTGAAGGAGTTCTAGTTCATAGTTGGGATAGGATGAAAAAGGTACATTTGTATTCCTTATTGGGTTTAAGTACCCATAAACATGTAGAATGCTACTCAACTATGACAAAGAGTTGAGGTTGAGGGTTCAGTGGCATGTAGCGTGCCGGGTTGAAGAACTAAACTCTGTACTTCCGATCCATCAGTTTCAGTATTTAGGACAGCCGAGGCATTCGGAGACAGCATATATTGGTTCTGCTGTGATGTTAGAGCTTCAAGAAAGACTTATACCTGCACCCCGCATCCGCAATCTGAGCGTGAGCCGAAGCTGCAGAGGTTTTCGGGTGCCATCACGGTTCCGCGAAGTTTCAGGGAACAGGGCGGGTGTCGTGTGCTGAGTTTAGTAGACCTCACGAAATCTTCAGAGCGCCACAGCGGTTTGGAATCCATTGGAGTTCTTGAGGCTCAGGTTTCAGCTGAGCGAACAACTGGTCAGCTGGATTGGTATTTCAGCCACTGTGCTTGCAAGTTTCTTTTTTCTCCGCCAACTACAGACAAGTTTGTTCACAGCAGCTCGAGCAAGCCCCGAGCTGTGCCCGTAGAAACGGCCAGCAAAATTAAACGCTTCCATCAGCCCTGGTTTCAGAGCGCACTACGAGTCGATAACCCCCTCTTTCTCTGCCCTCGATCAGGAAGCTCAAGTTGCTTGCGTGCCCTCGAAAGTGTCCGTTGAGATCTTTCAGGACCAGGGCAAATGCTCGGGACCTTGCACATTCCCAGTACAACGACAAGAACAGGAAAAGAACAGGCGATGTTAGTGCCCCCACTTCGGCTGACTGATACACCCAGACATTGTCTGACAGCATAATGAACAGACATAGCGGGAAGAGGAGAAGCGATGCCGTCGCCCCAATCGAGAGGCATCTCGGCAATTGAAAGCCCCTTTCAACGATATCGCTAAGGGCATCGAATGCGCTTTCCGACAAGCTGCATGCTCCCTTCATTTCCTCGAGTTGCTTCTTGCTCAATGCTGAGACCACTGAGTCAGACCAGAGGACGGTGCTAAACCATTCTGGGGGATCTGGAGCCGGAGCCAGAACCAACTGCTGCGACTGCAGGTTTTGGAGAACATCCTCCACCTGCGCCTCCGAGACACCGGCCTGGAGCAGGGCCTCTCTCGAGTTGACTTCGGCCATTGCTTCGGTGCTAAGCTTGGCGCTGCACTCTCAACTTGAGCCACCTTCACGGATTCAGGGTTCTAGAACTGCAGATATTTTCAGTGAGATTGGCAAACAGGCATAGCAATGGATACATACTCACAAATAGGTTGAAGGAGTACTATGCGCGCTCAGCCGTAAACCCTATGTCATATACATTCGAAAGACCGGCATGCTTGTCAACGCATGCATCACTTAGGCCCTGTCTCTGCGCCACTTGCCCTTCCCATTATAAACCTTAATAGCCTCAAATCTCTAAACTTAAGTCTTCAGCCCACACCTTGAGACTGGATGTGGCGGTGGCAAGGCTGTTATAAACCCCGAAGCTCCAAACCGTATACTGCTCGGACTTTTATGGCGTTGTGGTTCAGGATTAAAGCCAGAAGCCGGCCAAAGACACCTCTTCGTACGGAGGAATGGAGAGATGCTCTCGGAAGGCGTCAACGACGAGCTGTGTTGCTTTCTTTGTCTAAACCTCCTTCCGCTTCGGCAGACATCCACCCAACCACTTCTCCAGTTTCAGGCAACCCCCTCTCCCTTATCGAGGAGCCTGTTTGGGCCGGCGGGGTATGGACTACGATTTCGAGGTTTCGGATACGAGCCTTGATGCCGTGATTGTGCCAAGGGCTAGCATCGGGAAGTCGAAACAGTCATCCCCAATTCCCGAATCGTGTGCCGAATCCTAGACCAAATGCCCTGAATCTTGGAGCTCACACTCTCCACTTTACAACCTTCATTCCCAACAACAACAACAACAACCACAACAACAACAACCACAACAACAACAACAACAACCACAACCACAGTCCTCCACCGTCAACCAGCACTAGAACCCAAAACCCGAAAGCCCCAAAAAGGCCTTGAGAAAAGCCTTGCGCTCGGCAACTTGCACGAGAAGCCTCAGACAACTCTGCAAGATTGGGGCTTGTTTCAGGTCTAGGGTTCGGTCGTACAGTTTCACAAGACTGTAACTTAGAAGTAATTTCATGGGGGTTGTAATCATCTATACACGTCATTGCCTCAGCTTTGCCTCAACTAGACTTTTCACTTTCGAGGCTACGTCACACTCGAGGCTACGGTGTCGGGAGTGGAGGTTGGGGGTTGAAGCGTCCTTGCTTCGACACGCATAAAAAGAGTCTATGTTGGGCTTCCTACCGCCTCGAGAACTCTCGTAAAGAACTGCGGGCTACAAAAAAGTTTATAAGGTGCCAGTGGAGTCGCTCCAACACTTATGACGGCATGAAAGCTGCTAAACATCAACGTTGTCAGCTTCAGGTCCTGGATGAACAAGCTTTGTGGCTTCACGGAAACATAGTGATACCATGTCTTCCAGACAAACAATCTGACGTACGTACTTAAACACGCATGACGGAATGAATCTATCGTGGCTATATCAAACCCCCGCAATGATCAGCTAATTCTTTCCGCCCCGCGTTACCTCGCACGTTGGCAAGGCAGCCCTCGGAGATTCACATGCTGCAGCCGTAACATGGGACAACCCTACTAGACGTTCTGGCTCCTCCATTTGCAGATGCGTGCCTTCAAAAAGCCAACATCACTGGCCAAGCGGTATGTTTGGGCCACTCGAAAAGCTGGCTCCTGTCGGTTTAGGCTCAAAGTAGCTTGAGGTGTACAGGAGCATGCCAAACCATCATGCATTCACTTTGGCAACAATTCATCTATCAGGTTTAGCCAGCCGAGCAAAGCAAGAGGTCCTGTTACCGTGTCGTGCTTGGTGATTTAGAAGCAACTCTTGGGGACTGTTCCATGGAGCAGGTAACTGTACCAATAGATTGTCCTAGACATGGAGGTCCGGTATGACGAATACACGGAAACAAACCGGAGTCCGGCCCCTACGACAATGACAACGGCAACTACTACTACTACTACTACTACTACTACTACTACTACTACTACTACTACTACTACTACTACTACTACTACTACTACTACTGCTAATACTACTACTACTACTACTACTACTACTACTACTACTACTACTACTACTACTGCTACTAGTACTACTACTACTACTACTACTACTACTACTACTACTACTACTACTACTACTACTCCTACTGCTACTGCTACTGCTAATGCTACTGCTACTGCTACTGCTACTGCTACTGCTACTGCTACTGCTACTGCTACTGCTACTGCTACTGCTACTGCTACTGCTACTGCTACTGCTACTGCTACTGCTACTGCTACTGCTACTGCTACTGCTACTGCTACGACTACTGCTACTACTACTACGACTGCGACGACGACTCCTGCTGCTCCTCCCCCTCCTACCACCACCACTGCTGCCCAGCTGACGACGACGAGATCGCTGCTACTTCTTCTTTGCAGCTGTAGATCAAGTTGCAAAACAAACAAACGTCTTCGCCGATGCCCGAGATGGAAGAGTCCCAGGTGGACTTGAATCACAAAGCCTGGAGGCCCTGCATGCCCAAGAGTTAAGGGTTTAGGGCCTAGACTAGTTTGGGATAACCTGAATCAGCCGAGGCGAAGCCCGGAACCCGAACGTCAACACCTAAATGCGAAAAGTCCTAGAGACCAGAGCTAGGAGGGCTGAAATACTCCAAATCCATCACTGCTTAAGCTCTGCCCGAAATCGGACATGCCAATATCTCAAACCCCAGAATACCAAGCCCAAAACCCTAAAGAATCAAACTTAAGTGTGCTATGCGAGGGTGTTTTGAGCTGACGGCATAAAGGTTTCGGGGGTTGCTGCAGCACTTTGACAAGACTCTAGGACATGGCTTTGCATACACATTTCGGGGAGATTCGGGTTTTAGGTTGCACATACGTGGGGTCTAGGGCTGCTTCGCGCTGCGGGAATTTGGAGCTAATGGTGTGAGCTTGGAGTATGTTGGAGTTTCAGGCAATTCAACACTACAGCACGACACACACACACACACGCACACGCACAGTTTCGATTTCTGGATTGAGTAAGTGGGTTTTGAGGCTCATGTACAAGGACTAGAAGGGGATTTCCTGGCGAATTCTTCAAACCTCTAGACTGAGGGTGCAGGGTTTCGAGCGTGGGAAGGCGGGTGGAAGTCTGGAAAACCCTCAAGTCCTCCTGGAACCGGCTGCAATGCGAGCAAGTTGCTTCTCCTTGGAGCACGGCTCTACTTCAGAGTTTAGAGGTGCAAGCTCTGGGGTTTGGGGTCCGGAGCTTGAGGGTGCAGGGCGCACAAGGGCGAGGTTCCGAATAATATGGCCACTTATGATTATGTAGATCAAGAGATCATGCTTACAATCTGACTGAATCAACTCGGGATCGTGAGTCTCGGCCAGTCGCGCCTCTGCAGAGATACAACCGCTCCGATTGGCACGAAAGCTCCTTGCTCTTAGCCCTACCCTAGCTAACCCTTAAACCCCAACCTCCCCTACTCTCTGAATCTTAAGCGCTATGACCAGGTAACGCGCCACTACCACGGCTGGCTTGTGCACCGGATCTCCTTTAATACTTCTGCACGGAGGTAGCATGTGACGTTCTGGGTCATGGGTCTCTCTATGCCCTGCCATCTGGCTGCGGCACCACCTGCCCAAGATAGGTTAGCGTCGACCCCAGATAGGTGTAGGGTTTAGGGGATTGTTTGTTCTCCACATCTCTTCATGTTTGTTTGTTCTCCACACCTCTTCATGCATGGTTGCAAGCATAGTCCTAAGTGGCTTTCAAAACAGTAGCCCTAATGATGACCGACCCTACTTACCAGTTCTCTGGGCACCCTGAGCCCTCCGGCTCCAGAGTATCCAAAGCCCCAACCCAGCCTGCAGTCCAAAACCTTTTGCACGGCAGGGTGAACCCTACCTTAGCAGGTAACCCATAAGGCCCTCAACCCCGACACTCCAAAGGCACAAAGTCCCGAACTCAAACTTAAGTGGTCCATACTGGTCTGAGTAGTAATTAGCAAATATTTCCAGTAGAGAGCCCTAAGGAATAGTATCACAGTGGTTTAAGCTTCTACGTTAGACATCACGAGCTGCAAACCTGAAATCCCATGCTGCAAGGATCCCTCCCGAAGAACACTTGCCGACAGGAGTCGACCTCGCGCGACTGGGACGGGGAAAGTCCCAAGCAGGCCTGGTGCGGGCTTTCGTTTGCGGGTGTAAGGTTTCGAATTCAGAGCTTAGGATTCAGGCGTGGGCGTGAGAGCTTCAGGTGTTTGAGTGTCAACTGGCTGTTTAAGATTAAGGTTTCACTAAACGCGGCCTCTGGGAGCTTAAGGTCCAGGGTTGGGTTCAAGGGATTTGGCGTCTGCATGACATCCCCGCGGCTCATCCTGACCTGGGAAAGCTTTCAAAGCTCGAAGCTCCTCCTAAACACAGCACTGACGGAAACGACTAAACTCGAAATCATTGCAAGTACTGGCAACACAGGATACGAATAAACAGAATGAGTTTAGCAACTTAGTTGCAACTTGTTTTTGTTTCAGGCTTCGGGGTGTAGGGACAGCTAAGTCGGTCATCTTTGCCGTTGTAACCAGCCCCTTATCATGCGACGGTTAAACCCTAAACCCGAAACCCTCTTTTCCAGCTCGATTGGCTGGTTCGATCGCATGCCGCTCTTGTACTGCGTGTCATCCAGGCGGTATGGGGAGAGGTAATTGCGTGCACGGTTAGACCGTGCAGAACCGGGTACCATCCCATCGCGAAGGATCCCGAATCCTCTGCAAGCCTGTAATTCTGGAAGCCTGAAGATCCCCAAGCCCGAAACCCTCATTTCCGGTTTAGGGGTTTGGGCTTCAGAGCTCCACGTTCAGAGATTGAGATTTTGGGGTTTTGAGCTTAGGTTTGAGGGTTCAGGGTTTACGGCTTATGCGTGTATGCTATGTACCTATCATAAGGAACCCCCAAATTGTGTTGGTAGCTATCTAAGCCCTAAGCCCTAAACCCACAAACCCTTAAACCATGAACCCTAAATCCTAAACCCTATGTTGCAGCCAGCCCCCTATCCGGCCTCTCGG